TAACCTAGCCTCGGATGCTAGTAATCGTTCTGCAATGCAATGCAAGGCACAGATGATAAACCTTTCTGCAGATTTCTCTGTTGCCTATCACCCCTGAGGCCAGACAATCTCTGATATTGCACCAAGGTGTCAAAGATAACCAATGCAAGCAAGCAACTCTAAATCTCTAGGTAGGTATGAAATTATACTCGAATATACTCAAGTCTTTTTAGTGGCAGAAGTCGATGGTATCATCAATCAAACTCAAGTCATTTTGGTATTTAGGATAGACCGATAGAGGTCCTAAGTCATCTTGCCTCTCCTTGCTATCCCACGGAAGATGTTGCCGAGGGTAAAGGGTGACCCTGGTCGCCGGAGGAGGGTAGTCAGATTGGGAGCGAACCATCCGGAGTAATGTTGAATGTGGAATACGATAAATGAGGATGATTGGATGAAGTTCGATGGAGAGGCTCAACAAGCTTCTTTGCACTGGGGGAAATATGTATTGAAGAAGAGTTGGAGAAGCCAAGGTCCACTGCAACACGAATGAGAGCTATACAACTCCCGAGAGAGTAGGTAGGTACTAATGCGAGGAAATGTATCGTAGGTGTAGCTACAGTGATGATCAGTAATGCCTAAAGTTAGTATCTACCATACAGTCAAGTAAGTCCTTGGATAGGAATATATGCATTCTACTAATACATGCTCTGACCACTGATCTGTAAGAAGAGAAGAGAGAGCCATGAACACATCGGTCGCCCAAACAGAAGCTCAAACATGTCCAGAAACTCGGGGAGGGATGGATGGACCTGACATGGCCCCCATGCAGCACAGCCAAATTCCAATTCTGGTAAGCGAGTCATAGCCCAGCGATGACTTTTACAGGGCCTATTACAGAGGAGCAAGTCTGGTCTCCCAAAGCTAACCCGAGCAGTTAAACTAAACACTGGCAACCTTACGCATAGACCAGGCGGATATCCACCACTTAGAATTGTCCGCGGGTAGCGTACAGTACAGTACGTTTCCCCCAACGAAGGAAAAGATCAAGTTAGCTGCGTTGATGGTATCCGAATACAAAAGTCCAGAAATCATAGTAAAACTTCCAAGACAAGTGAGTGTCTGTAGGGCAGACCCTTCTTCGTATACTCAAAGTACCTCACTCACATTCATCCTTGGACATGTATCAAGAAACTTCTTGCTACCTATTTAGTAGGTTAAGTCGGTAAGGTACCGAAGTATCCCGATTTTGTTCCTTGGGGCCTCTAGTCTCAGGTTAGTAGTATGAGAGACCACTGCAGAAGAGTCTCGGAACAAGGGACATCCCACGCTGGCGGCAGCTATAGGTGTCGCAGAGTCTAGTCACATGAATAAGAGATTGTAAAACTGTAAGAGACGGAGCGGAGGTCAAGGTGGGTGGAAATTATCATGTGAGAAAAGAAAGGCAATGAGCACCATTGCAGCTTCAACTCGGCTCTAACTAGTCCATATATCCTGAAGCTCAGTAATAGTTAGTAGTAGTCTCTCAGACTCAAAACCCACCCCGTGAGCCTTGCTCGTGAAGGTTCTTCTGGCGTCTGGCTCTGGATGACACCAAGGAAATGAACTTCTACACCAACCAGATACGGGCATTGACCCCTGCCATTGAATGACCCTCCCACCATCTCCCTTGACGATATCCTCTAATTGGGGATCCCCAGCTGACAATGTCCTGCAGCAGGAGATGGATGGGTGATGGAGGGGACATCCCACTCCCCGAGTACTGGTACTTATCAGATCCCTGCCCTTTAACAACCTACCTATGTTAGTCGCTCTCTGGATTTCCCTGGCGGAATTGACAACTGTTTCTTTCATGGCGACAGTCTGACAAGAAAGTGAAAAGAGAGAGAAAAAAAGCGACAGTTTGGCTCCTCCCCCGCCTCCAGTTCGTTTACGTTGAGCACTGAGGCGGGCAAGAGAATGGTGACCGGCTAGGTATTCTCCACCAAAATGGACCGTACGAGAACCCCACTCTCACCTAGGTACGGGTAATAAATCCACTCTGTCGACAAAAAGTCTCTCTACATTCAGCGGCGGTTGAAAAGAAAGCAACTGAACTACCCGTCGCCCGCCCACTTTGGATGAACCCACCTACCTACTACCACCTTAGTACTAACTGAAGTTACAGTAGTTGTGCTAAGGTTGCCACTATACGACCAACCACCTTTAGTTTGGACTCTTCGATTTACGGTAATTGACCCAAGACTTGAATCAGCCCGAGTCTAATATTGGCTTGTCTCGTCTTTCATCCGCGTCCACGCTTGCGTCTTCGTTTCTTGGGTTCCTCTCCCACAGTTCATTGGCATCTACACCTACATACATATCCGCACATCGCTTCCAGAACGGTCGACACTCTCCCTTGTCCTCTCATCACCAGCAACTGTCACTCAGGTCAAATCGTCATCGTGGTCTCTGCCTCCAATTTCGGAACTCTTTTGCGGCATCGGCATCGGCATCGCAAGCTTTCTCGTCTCTGCGCCATTGTTAGATATTTCTATTGTATGTATCTACGCCGATCAGCTGGATACTCACCGACCAAGTCCGACTGGAACGCATCTTGATACTCTATCTCGACTGTTACTATTCTGTAAATATCTCTCGTCACCTTCGCTTGGTGTCAACTTTCTCCGCTTTTGGTGCTGCTTCAACGACTAGTTCCATCTTGCGCAGCCTTGACTGGCGCAATTCACGACTCGCCCGGCTGATCAAATAAACTCACTTGTAATTGCCTCTATTTGATCAACACCCGCCGCAACCCGGCCATGATGAGTTCGACGGCATGGAACGGGCAGGACCAGACAATGGCCTCGACTGGCGAGGACGACTTTCATCAATTTCTCGACATGAGCAGCATGGGAAGTTTGGGCGATGGCATGCACTTCGACTTCCAATCCTTCCAGGATGGCTCTGCTCAGGGTCTGATGAACCAGGCGCGAGATGCCCCCGACACAATAATGACCGACTCCGATAATCCAGGCCTAATGTCTACGCCAAACACGATGCCCATGTCAACGTCTACGGTTCAATCAACCATTCCCGCGCACATGATGACGCCCGCAAGCGATCCGATTTCCAATATCGACGCCCAGATTCAATATCTCCAACAACAAAAGTTCCAACAGCAGCAGCGCCAGATGCAAGAGCAGCAGGTGGCTTTCTTCCATAATCACAACCACTCAGTGCCCCCTACACCGCAAAGTCTCGAGATGCCCAACAGTGGACAGTTCTATTCACAGGCTGAGCAAATTCCGACATCAGGTGCCTACGACAGAAGTTATCACCAGCGGATGAAGGAGCAAGATGTAAGACTCCGGTCCATCACCAACCCCCGCCTCTACATGTTATGTTGCTAACTTGGTTCCAGATGGCATTCACACCTCTCGTTTCCCCCGCAGTTACCCCTTTGGACCCCAACTTCTCCATGGACAGTGGCTATACTATCCCCAGCGCCTATTTTAGTCCTCTGACTTCACCAGCTCTCCACGCACAGAATGACCCCTCTACAGTCTACGATCCCCGTCTTACCAACACCAACAATTCACCAATCGATGTAGATCTCGACAGATCGGCCGCTCCCGTTACCTCCGTTTTGGACTTGCCCAAGAAGGCTGCAAGGAAAAAGACCGCGACCAAGACACGGGCAAAGGCTAGCATTCGAAGTTCTCCCATCGTCAAGCCTCAGCGCCGGAAAACAGGTCCCAGTCCGGCCATCGTCTCACATGTACTCAGTGAAGTTGAGGAGAGCAGTGGCGCCTTTCTTCCTATGCCTGCGACCTCTACCGAGACCTCGGCAGAGGAGAATTCATCGGTATCCCCTGAGGCCCTTTCGGAGATGCCCCCACCGCCAATCCCCAACAGGAGATCAACCAGCAAATCCCCATACATCCAAGCGCAGTCGAGCAACCAGCAAACACCTGTCTCTGGCCCCGTTGACTCATGTCCAGCTCCAGCTACCCCCGCATCGCTCATGAAACTCCCGGCATCCAGGGCAAGCAAGCAGGCAAATGGGCCTCAAGAGCCAGTTGTGTCTGAGCATATTGAATCGCTCGAGTTGCCTGAGTCGGTATCTGGCAAGACCATGACCCCGGTCATCTCGCGCTCTTCTGTGCAGTCTCCTTCCGTAGAACCTATGTCTCGACGAGGGTCGAGCTTTCAGCCATTGCCATCGCCAGTATTCCCTAAGGCTTCAGGATCTGCATCAGCAAGTGCGAGCCCCCAATTAGCTCCCGGTTCGGCAGGCCCATCCGCACGGAAAACTCCTCAGCTCGCGCCTCGGTCGAGCAGGAAAAGGTCGACAGGTTCAGTACATGTTTCGCCTGCACTGTTGCCTCGAATATCCCCTAGCATCAAGCCTCTTCTCCCGGGCACACCAGGTATGACACCAGCGGAGAGTGCTGCATCGCAATTGCTCATGTCGAAATCCAACTACCAAAATATCCTCGAGGGCAATAAGGTGCCAGGCGTTTCGTATCCGAGCGAGCTTTCAACAAATCTCACATCAAAGCGAACGTCGCACAAAATCGCGGAGCAGGGGCGCCGTAACCGAATCAACTCGGCGTTACAGGTCATGGCTGGATTATTGCCTGGTGGAGACAAGACGAATCTCGCGGATGAAGGTGACAAGAAGGATGGGAAACAAGCGAACGCGCAAAACAGCAAGGCCAGTGTTGTCGAAAACGCCATTGTGCACATGAAGAGCCTTGAGAAAGAAAACGGCGATCTGAAGAAAGAGGTGGAGGAACTTAAAAGACGACTGGAGGGGCTGCAAGGGTCAACAGACGATAAAGAAAAGGCATGACAAAGAGGATCTGTGTGCATCTAGTCCACCACATGATGTACGCGGGCGCTGAACAGGCGGGAACCTCCCTGGTGCATAATTGGATAGGTCTGGCACATGATGGGGTCAACTCTCTTCGTAATATCCTCAAGGGCGGCAGCGATTTTTGTTTCGGCGTTTTGCTTGCGGTGTTGAACAGGGCGGGATACTAGACGGGTGCCTCTGGGCCTAGATGGGCTTGTTGTAGAGTGTATTTGTTGAAATCGCTAGACGAAGCAGTAGATGAACTAGTAAACGAGGAATTGACAGCCTCAGAAGAGTTGTGGAGCACGGGAAGACCAGAACTAAATAACAAAGGTCAAGTTAACAAGCACACAGTGAGGCGAGACATGGGTCCAAGCTCTGAGATGTCGAGGAGTGACATGAATTATTAGAGGATAAACGTGGTGAAGTAGTTTGGCTAGGGGTCTAGAGCATTGTTTATTGTTGTGAGATATGGATGGCTGTTATTGTTGATGATCGAGAACGTCAGTATCTAACTGCTCCATAACCTCCACCACGAGTTTCAAGCTCTCCATGAAGCCGTTGACAGCGACTCGAAGCATTCGATTGGTTGTGGCCCTGTAATGAACCTCGAGAAGCTGGACATCTGCATCGTCACCAGATGGAGAACCCTGCGTTGACTTGGGCGCTGGGACAACGGTGAGCTGTCGCCTAACGAGTGGGGAGAGTTCAGGGTCCACCTGAATGGCCTTGAGGGCGGTTGTGGCCAGTCGAGCGGTGGGAAAGGGGACGTTGAGGACACTGAGAACAAGGGTAGGGGGTCAGCAAAGAGAACGAGAATAACAACAATAACAACAACAGCCAGCCTTGGCCTTGGTAGCCTCAGACTTGGGGTCGTCATCGTCACAGGACAGGGGGGTGGCTTGCATGGAGCAGGGAAATTCGGGATCGGGAATGGCGGTCATGGTTGTGATTGTGGCGGAAGTGGTCACTGCTTTGGTAGCGACGCTCTAATCTCTCTTGGTTGTTGTGATCGATCTATTCGTTTCCCGATGCTTAAATATTCTGGTCCTGCGGTAGTTTTATAATGACGATACTAGCGTTGGCCTCTGCCGTGACAAGGAATGGAGATCTAAGCCGAAAATCGAAAGGACAGGAACGTCAACCCCTGAGAAGTTTTGCGGTCTGATTCGATAGTGAAGAGAGTCTCTTTTGAGATAGTTGAGTTTGATGTGAGTATAAAAGTGAGAGGATGTGTATTTGAATGTGAGTGAGGTGAGTTTGTGTGTGACTTCTGATCTTGAAAAAGATTGGAGGTTTCTGATAGTTGCGTGGGGATGAGATTGATTGGCCGTGGGGGGACCCATTACAGGAACCCGGCGGTAAATGCTAGATCATTGACGTTGTAGATTTATGGCACAGCCACAGAAAAAAGCCACAGCCGGGGATGGTTCAATTGGATCACAACAATAACTGCCATAGTAGAATCTAATCACTTGGATACCCTTGGAATCTATTGCATTTGTTCCATTTTGGAAATAAGGCCTGCAGTTTTAATTACAGATGCTCCTAGTGTAACACACCCTACCTTAGCTCGTGAAATTCCCCAAGATGTAAGCGTTTATGCTGAGTTATAGCTGTTTAGTTTGACATCATAACAAAGTCCATCAAAACAGAACTAATTACCTATTTAGGGTATGGTACTTGGGACATCAAACAGAGGCAGTTGGGGAAACAAAGATATCTAAGGATATGACGTTCACTACTAGCCTTGCCTTAGCCTTGCTAGGTAGGCATTTATTGCAGTGAATAGAAGTCGCGTGAGGAACAACTGGGAGCGCTGGTTGTTTAATACCTACCAAGACAAACGTTGCATGGGACTTACAGCTGGGACTGGGACTGGGACTGGGGCTGGGCTGGGCTGGGCTGGAGCGGAATGGTATGTTGTGGTCCAGGGCCCGGGCCAGGTCAAAAAGTCACTGTTGCTGTTGCTATGGCAATAGTACCAAGGAGCAACCTGTTTCGGGCAGGGGCCAAAAAACAACGACAATCGCCCATACAAAAGAATCGTTAGCCCAGTGTCCAATCTTACATCAACATCGTCAACCAAGAACTTCAATTCTTTTCCCTTCCCCAGCTTTGCCTTCTGGCTTTTGGTGCTTTCTCCTGTCCGCGCTGGAGCTGGACTTGAAGACCCCCCTTCTTTAACCTCACCAGCCTCCAACCTTACCTAGGTACCTTGCCTTTTTAGCTCACTTAACGCTGCAGCTTCCCGTTGAACTGTCAAAGGCAATTCGTCCCCGGTCACCGCCTGCTCTGGTCATTTGTCGCTCTCGCATTGGGATATCGCCGCTGCCTCAATTCATTGACTGTGTATATCTTGCTTGAACCTGATATCTTCCGACTGCATTCGAAAGCTCCTGCTCTCTTTTTTTTGGTCCAGCAACAGCCTCTGGACGGTCCCACTGCCAGCCTCCCTGAAGCCTGAAGCCTGAAACCTGAAGCGCAAGTCAACATCAACAACATCCGATAATAACAACATGGCTCCTTCTACCAGACAATCGCAAAACATGGCGCAGATAGTCGAGTACATACCAGGTAAATATTTAACTCTCTACTACAACACATCATTCATACAATGGCCGCTCGGCTCTTCAGAGCCATGTCGCATTGTTATCCTTTTCAGTTTACGCCGCTGCTCAAGGCTCCACCTTGCTTCATCGACATCAATGTTCACAACATGCTTCTGCCAACATCGTGGCTAAACTATATTTCAGACCGGCTTTACCTTGCCTCCTACATCCATCCTCCTACGCCAGACACGCCGTTCCCTTACCCCGAGGAGCCTCAGCCAGCTTCTCCTAAGAAGCGAAGCCAACGAGCTGCTGCCGGTGCGACCCCGCTCGCCGCCAAGTCGAACCGACCACAACCATGCTATTTCACTGTCGACGATACTCTTCTGTACAACGCTTTCCACCATGATTTTGGCCCTCTGCACATCGGACACCTCTATCGATTTGCCATCCAATTCCATGATATCCTAGGCGCAAAGCAAAACAAGGACCGCCCCATTGTTTTCTGGAGCGCTGCTGACCCTAGAAGTGAGCTCTCCCGTGCTAATCTGTGCGAAGCGCAAGGAAACTAACACCAAGTTCAGGTCGTGCGAACGCTGCTTGTATGCTCGCATGCTACATGGTCCTCATACAGAACTGGCCTCCCCATCTGGCCCTTGCCCCGATTGCGCAGGTCGATCCTCCTCTGATGCCATTCCGAGATGCGGGCTACAGTCAAGCCGACTATGGCATTAGCGTTCAAGATGTTGTCTATGGTGTGTGGAAGGCCAAGGAGGAAAAGTGCTGCGATCTAGACAACTTCGATCTTGACGAATATGAGCGTTTCGAGAGAGTCGAACATGGCGATTTCAACTGGATCACTCCCCATTTCCTGGCATTTGCCTCTCCCCAGCACGCACCGGTCCAGAAAATCACAGAGGGTTCCGACCTGTACCCATTGCTTCCACGGACGCTAGCCGCCGTGGATGCCCATCCCAAGTTGCCAAAGCCCTTCAAGAATGTGCTGAAGCATTTTTCCGAAAAGAACATTGGCTTGGTGGTCCGCCTCAACTCCCAACTCTACTCCCCCTCGTACTTTGAGGCACTGGGCATTCAACACCTGGACATGATCTTTGACGATGGCACATGCCCCTCGCTCTCAACTGTCCGCAAGTTCATCAGACTCGCCCACGAGACCATCACTGTCCGTAAGCAGGGAATCGCTGTTCATTGCAAGGCTGGCCTCGGCCGCACAGGTTGTTTGATTGGCGCCTACCTCATTTACCGTCACGGTTTCACTGCCAATGAAGTGATCTCATTCATGCGCTTCATGCGACCCGGCATGGTTGTTGGTCCTCAGCAGCACTGGCTCCATTTGAACCAGGGCACATTCCGCGAGTGGTGGGTTGAGGAGAGGATTGAGCGCAGACTCAGGAGGGAGATGGCTGCTGCCAACCCTATTCCCAGCACCCCTATTCGTGCCATGCAAAAGACAACGCTTCGGAACGGCCAGGCCTCGACACCCCCCAACCGAAGCCCCTCAAACCGTACTCCGCTGAGTGAAGTCGACCACGATCGCAATAATATTGGGGTCCAGGAAGACTATTTACCAGCTCCTACACCGGGCCAACCGCGAAAGACTGCCAGGGATCGCCATCACCCTTACCAACGTTCAACTTCCAACGGGCTCGCTGTTGAAGAGCAGCGCACTGTTGAGCAGGAAGCTGAGTACATTGCGACGCACAGCCAGGCTCACGGCGGAGAGTCTGATGAGGAGTTGCATTTGCGCATGCGACGCCATCGTAAGGCGACCTCTCAATCACCGGCTCGCAGTGAGAAGATTCGCTCGGTTAGCCAGACGACGGCTATCTACACCATTGACAACGATGCGTCACACGATGCTGAGAACATTGGCTCTGTGCGGACGAAGCACGTTGAACGAGTTGCTAGTACCCCTGGCGTCCTGACAAAGGTCCGCGGCAGCAAGCGGCAGGGGGAGTCTCCCCTTCGGGCAAAGGAGTCTGCTGGCATTCGGAAGACCAGCGGCAGAGTAGGCAGCGCCAATCATGGAGCGTCAGTGACGGCAGCTTCTACGGCCCGTAAAGTTTCTGGAGCTTAGAAAGCACCAGCACAACGAGTCCAGCCGCTTCAGCGTTCTAACGCGAAGCGTAACAGACAATTGTACGATTCCACGTCACGATCATGATTCACGTACGTCACGGGCAATGTTAACGTCTCTCATGCATTGGCGTTTCTGGCTCATAAGAAGAGGACGAGCGGTTTATGTTTGAATGTTAATGATTCTTCTCTCATGCATAATTGCTTACCCGAGAAGTGTTCGGCTTTCAGTTAATGTCATTTGAAACTTGCAAGATAATCCAGTTTCTGCAGCATACAAGGATCATTACGGCTACGACTTCGATGGAGTTTGTCGCGGTCAAGGAGAAGGCAATTAGAGAGGCGTGAATAATGCATACTATCTCGGATGAGGGAAAGACTGAAGGCATAACGGAGTTCAAATTTGCGATGGCGTACAGGCAGGCAAGGTTGAAATTATTATTGTGGACTTATTTGGTTTGGCATTGCACCGGGTTTTGTTGTTTCTTGATGATAGTCAAAGAGGGGGCAACGAAGAAGAGACGGCAGCGGATTTTTACGACGGTTATATAAGTTTTCCAAGAGCTGAATTACATACATCTCTTACACTGTTCATTCTTTGTGGATTTCTGTCTGACGACCGACCGTCTAAGGTTCTCATTTGGATGATCTATCTACATTCGTCTCAAGTTTACCATCAGGTCCGGATGGCTTCGAGAGCTGTGACTACATCTTCTATCACCTTGCCGGCCTCAGCACTTGTCATCTCTTCACTCACGGCCAAACACTTGTCCACGACATCACGATATCGACTACCGACCTTGCTACCCAGACCGGGAACGAGAACTGCACGCAGGACCTTGTCGCGCCATCGACTTATGGAGTAGTGTGGTTTATGGTATGTTTGAAGAACCTTCCAGAGACCTATTTCAAGGAGCACCAAACCCAGACTATAGATATCCATGGGCTTGCAGTGAGGAAAGCCTCGCAAGGAAGCTGGGTGTCGGTGTAGCGTAAGGATCGAAGGATTACGGGGCGCGACAGAGAGCGCAGTATCAAGGTCTGGTCTTGAAGCATCGAACCCCGTCAGATAAGGGCACTGTATATCTGGTACAAGTGCCCCAGCAGCAGTTGACGAGTGAGCCGATGCTGAAAAGGCCGAAGGGAAGAAGAGAATGTTTGAGCTGCAAAGGCTTTTATGAAGCCAGTCAAGTGAGTGCAGGGACCACAAGGCGACGGCGAGCGTATGTGCCAAACGGACTCGATCATCGAGGTTGGGAGTCTTGAGGTCCGAGCTGGCGATGAGTTCGTGGAGCGTTGAGAAAGAGGGCGAGGGCGCTTTGTATACGAGCCCGTATCTGCACCGTGAAGTGTCGTCAACGTAGCCTACGCAGTCGATGCTATGAAGGTCAGGATGGCAATCGGAAGCGGAGTGCATCATGCGAGCAAGATCGTCGAGACGACGCACATGAGCTACACGCTCATCTACATCATCGCGGTCATAGTCAACCCACTCAATCACAACATCTCCCGCGCTCTCATGCCGTCCTGTACTTCTCCCGCCATCACCAGCATCCCCACTGAGATCAAGTGCAGCACGGGGAACCTTGAGAGCGAACGTGGGCTTGAACGAGGCCTGAGGCTTGGCGTCTAGGTTGATTCGGAGCTTCTTGAGGTTGGCCGAAGTCGTGAGCTTGGGGTAGACGCCGTCCGAAGCTATTTCAAGGAGGGTAAGCTGAGTAACGTCACGCTGAGCAGACTCGAGCAGCTGGTTCGTCCAAGCCCGTTGAAACGATGGGAGATGAGAGGTTGGAAAAAGGCGTTCGAGGCCATCATTAAAGTCTGGAGTTGAGGTTTCTTTTAGCCTTTGTGTTGGGCCTTTGATTTAGGAGGGGCCATTTACCTCGCAGGTCCCTTAGCAGGTTTATGAACTTGTCTTTATCTACGAGCAATCAGTTCTGTTTTGGTGGGTATGACAGATGAGGGCTTGGAGGACTCACCTGCTATAACCCATCTTGCTCTTAAACCCATCTCCTTGCCCCAGTTTCTCTCACTTGTTACCCTTGAAACACCATTCAAGTCGCGACTCTCATCATCTTTTGATCTCTTTCTTGAGGGTGAAGGCGACTTTCTTGGCTTCGATCCAGTGACTTCCAAGCTGGCTCTCCCCTCGTCAACTAGCCCGTATCTGTTCTTCAGTTTCTTGAAGTCTGTGACCGCGCTATGCAACTCCTCGAGGATTTGAAGTGCCAAACTCCTCAGCTGGGGATTCCTTGTGCTTTCAAGATGAGCTTCAAGTCTTCCCTCCGCAACACCCCAGTCCCGGCCCCAGACGACCAGGCGCATCTCCTCAATGCGTACTTTACATAGAAGTCTCTGGCTATCTGTGTCAAGGTTGGCTGCTGCGGTGAAGAGGCTGTAGGCTCTGACGCAGCCGTCGAAGAGTTGGCCGAGAACGCCTACTACGGCGAGGGCAGTTCCCACGGCTTCAGCCATTGCATTAGAGTGAGGGGTCAAGGTAAGAAGTGACGGGCGGGATATGACCTGTGAGACATTAAAGGCTTTCCCATGAGGTGATTAATTATATGCATATACTGATTATGATATGTAATTTGTGAGCTCCAGGCAAATACCAGCTAGAGCTCAATTAGATAGATACTAAGATTAGGGATTGGCGCTTAATCAGTCCTAGAATGCAAGGTCATCAGAGGTCTGTCGCGATTCGAGCGGCAAACGCCCAATGGCCGCATTGGATGGATGTTTCGAGTTGAAGTGGATTCAACTCAACCATGAACAATAATACGCTGCTAGTTGGTAGTTGCATACTTACAACTAAATCTATCAACAAAATAATGTATACACATATTATTAAATCTATTTTATACATGCCAGGTCACATCGTGACTTTACATTCACTGACCCTTCATTGCAACATCTGCTGCATGGCATTCAGTCTGTAGCTTTCCCTCCGCTCCATCAGTTGAGAATGCCGCCCACTGTCGATAATTTGTCCATTTTCAACGATGAAAATGGTGTCAGCTTTCTGCACAGTATGCAGTCGATGAGTGATGGCCAATACCGTCGTGCCCCTTGATGCTCTCTCGAGGCCCTCTTGAAGAGCTGCTTCGCTGGCGGCGTCAAGAGCACTGGTACTCTCATCTAGGAGCAATAGCCTGGGGCGACGAACAAGAGCACGGGCGATTGCGAGGCGCTGTCTTTGGCCGCCTGATAAACGAGAAGCTGAGGGTCCGCATTCAGTATCGTAGCCATCAGGAAGGGCCTCAATAACATCATGTATATTCGCTAGACGGCAAGCTTCCTTGATTTCATCATCTGTGGCTTCATGACCGGGAGGTGCTCCCAAGCCAACATTGAAACGCACACTACCATCAAAGAGGGCAGGATCCTGAGGTACTAGAGCAATCGTATCTCTAAATGACGCTGGAAGCTTGCTGATGTCATTATCATCGATGAGCACGCTGCCAGATGTCGGCTCGTATAAACGCTGGACCAGGTTCATGATGGTCGATTTGCCCGCTCCTGAAGGACCAACAAGACCACAAAACTGGTTGGGTGGGAGCACGAAGGAGACATTGTCGAGTATAGTGGCATCGGGTCGGCTAGGATAAGCAAAGGAAACGTCTTTGAACGTCACCTTTGCACCTCCACGACGATGGTTGTCCGCTGGGCCGAGCGACTTTTCTCCACCGGATGCTTCGACGTCCCCCTCAGTCTTGGAAGGATCCTGTCCAGGTTTTCCTGTGTGTGTGCTACTTCCCATGTTGACGATCGTCATGACGCGAGACAGGGCCAGGCGAGCACGAGAGAATTCCGGAGCAAGTGAGAACATGCCACTCCAAAGCTGAGCGCTCGTCAACATGGCGACTAGTATAATAAGGAAGTCCTTCTGAGTATACTCTCCTTTCATGATGAGCTGCGAGCCCCACCAATACGCGAGAGCGTTGATGAAGGTACCGGTTGTATATGAGATGGCCAGCCAGATGTTAGTTGTGACCGAGGCGCGCACAACCTGCTCCCTCGGAGGCTTCAACAATCGGGCGAAACCTTCCATATACTCATTCTCAAGGGAAAGGACGGCCACTGTACGGATGGACTGAATAGCCTCAGTTGCAAGTGCTGTGGCAGTAGAGAAGGCCTCGCGGTGTCGCTCTTCGTAACGCGCCAGCATGCGCAGCTGCATGAAACCTGAGCCAAGCAATATTGGAAGCGTCACAAGACACACCAAGGCAATCTTCCAAGCAAAGATATGGGAAATGATGACCGCGATGAGAACATTGATGAGGATGGCAAACACGGTACCGAAAGTTGAACCACTAAAGGCACCTACAGACATGCTATCTTTGGTAATGATGCCAAGGAGGCTGGTCGGTGTTCGTCCTTCAGACTGATGCCAGTGGATGCCCTGCTCCAGCAAGGATCGGAACGACAGAACTCGCAGGTTGTAGAGAAGCCTTTCTGCGACAATGCCGAAGCCCAGCCAAGCAAGAAAGTTGGCTATAAGCTCCACGCCCGCGAGCATGAAGAACAAGCCCGCAAACATGTTGCCCATGGAACTTATGTGGTCGAGGGTATTTGCACAAGGGTTGAGCGCCCCGACAGTGAAGCCAAATATGATACCGGAACCAGAAAAGGTAGCCCCAACGAAGACAGCAGCGATCATGGCGAGGGTGAGCCAGCCCAGGGATGGTCGAATCAACCAGACAAGACCCCTGATGACAGAGCTGAAAGGCTTCACCTCGTCTAGCTCATCATCATTTGATGCTACATCTTCTTTTTTCTTGGCCACCTCCTTCTCCCGGCCCAATATCTGGGAATCCAGGGACTGTTTTGCCTCAGAAACCTCGGTCTTTTCGCTCAGCTGCGTGTCGTTTCGGAGAGTTGAAGCGCCAATCGACTCGCCGTCCACGGATCCTGTGTCACTCTTATTGCCGACTGTCTGCAGTTTTGCCATGTGCGCAAATTCGCCATCGTCTTTGGCCATAAGATCATCATAAGTTCCTTGCTCAACGACTCGCCCAGCCTTCATGACGACAATATTGTCGGCATTACGTATGGTGGATAAACGATGCGCAATCGAGATGATGGTTCTTTTCTCAGCAGCAGCCCTCTCGACAGCGAGCTGGATTCTCTTCTCACTCGCAGAATCGAGAGCTGCTGTTGCTTCGTCCAGGACAAGGATTTCAGGTTCCCGGATCAAAGCCCGAGCAAGTGCAATGCGTTGTCTCTGACCACCACTCACAAGCGACCCCTTGGGCCCAGCAGTTGTACCATAGCCTAATTCGAGACGTTCAATGAAGCTGGCCGCATCAGCTTGCTCAGCGGCGTGACGGATCAAATTGGCAATTTCGACGAACTCGGGCCCGAGAGACGCAGCTGAATCTAGTGCGTTCTTGCCCTTGGCAGCCATCTTGGCGAGCTCGGGACCCTTGAGCAATGATTTGAGGTGTTGGTGGGACTCCTTTGGAGAGTTCACCAGACCTAGTGCGATGTTTTCGAGGATGGACCGGTCGAGAAGAGAGGGTTCTTGCTGAACGAAGCTAATAAAACTTCGTAGAGACTTGACGTTGAGTTCTCGCAAGTCGTGCCCTTCCAGTTCGACTGTGCCCTCGGTGGGATCATGCAGACGTGCTATCAGTGATGCGATAGTACTTTTGCCGCTCCCCGAAAGCCCGACGATCGCCGTATATTTGCCAGCCGGGAAGTCAAGCGTGACGTTGTCGAGGACAGGCTGGCCTCGCCGAGAGGCATACTCGAAGGACACGTTGCGGAATGTCAGGGTCTTTGCTGCACTTGGAGGGAGTACAACACCCTCTCGTGAAGTTCCGTCGATGGATGAAGGGGCATCAATGTCTTCCTTAAGCCGCTGGAATGCACCTACGGCTGCTCCTAAAAATGGAAGAGTGGGTGCCATTCCGCCCAACATGACGCAAGCGTCTACGAGAAGATAGACGATGGCATAAATCTCACCAACAGTGGTGCTCCCGTCGTTGCGTGCCACAGATTCAGCGATCTTTTTACTGCCCTGCCAGAAAGCTAGTGCATTGCCGGAGTACGCAATGAAGTACAGCATACCAGTCTGGATAGCGGCAATGGAAGACTTAACTATAGCGTACTTGCGAGAACGGGCCATGTGCTCTGCGAACTTCTCTTCAAGGCGGGGAGCGGCACCGAAAGCTTGAACGACAGCAACGTGCGACAGAGCCTCGGAAGCAATGGAAGAGGCTGCAGCGGATGCTTCCGTCTGTTTGACCACAAACTTGCCCAGGTATCTTCCCCCTAGTATTCCAGAAAGAAGAAAGGCCGGGAGCATACAAATGAGGATACCGGCGAGTCTTGGCTGTTTCGTGAAGGCAATAATAAAGACAGTGACGAAAAAGCTCATGGTTGTGATGATGTTGCCAACCTTCTCTGATGTCCCGGCCTGCACAGCTGTGATGTCGCCCTGGAGTCGGCTTGAGACTTGCCCAGATGATCCACGAGTGTCGAAGAACTCTGGAGGTTGGCGCAGAAGTGCGGAGACGTAGCGAGTCCGTAAACGCTGAGCAAGACGCTGGCTGATGATGTTCCAACAGGTCAGATGACCATAGATCAGGACAAGTGCAATAGCACCAATCCAGGCAGTCTTTATAACCTTGTCGTTGATAGCATTCTCGTAGTCAAGAGGATCAGATGCCGCATCGCTCGCTCCCGAGCCGCTACCATCTGCGGCGCAAGTGGCTCCGTTGAAGTTATCGATGAGCTGGCCGAATAGGACGCCCATAAGAGGGAAAGGAACACCAGCTCCAATGGCGCAGAGAGTACCCAACGCGATGAGGAAGTAATCGACCCAGGTCGGACCCGCGGCGAACAAGAGTTCGAGGTAAGTGAAACAGGTTTTGAGAGACTGAGAAGCGTATCAGTATCGTTTGCTTGCAGCATTCATCTGGGTTCTGGAGGAGATGGGGTTGACCTACTGAGAGAAAGCTTCTCTTGGGCTTCTCTGTGCCCGACTGATCAAGTGTGACGGACATGACTGTCGCTGTCGACGTCGATCGAGGGGTAAAGCTAAGGTTTCTTAGAAGAGCCTATCCATTGACTGACTGCTAGTTGAGTAACGAGGCTGTCACCAACAGAGCCCGTCAAAGTTCAGCGATGCCTTAGTAGCCTACGAAAAGGCCCTCACTGCGCTCAAAGAGATTACAATACTTGACAGAAGAGAACAGAGCAATCTTGGCAGTCAATGCAATACGTCAGCAGTCATCCAGAAAGCCGATTCAGGAGCCCTGAGCCAAGAAGACCCTGTTATGCAAGCATCAATTAGGATGAGTATGAAAGCGCGGTCGGCCTGGGCATCTAACCTTGCGTTGATGGATCGTGGATACCTACAATGGCCCTGCATTGCACTCTGCGCTTTGACACAATCCATAATGGCATGGCCGCGATGGGTCTCTCAGAAGAGGTAGGATCGTCTCGGTGAAGTGGATGCGAGGGTATATTGGCGACAGGTAGAACGTTTATCCTCAGGAACTCTATTGTGTCTGGTCAACGCGGGCGTGTTCATATGCAGCCAGGGTTGAGGATCAGATAAACCAGGATGCCCAGGTACTGTAGTATTGGTGAGTCCAGGTGAGTCGGAGAAGAGTGTGGGATGCGCCACGCCAAGTGTGTTGGTGGGCTAAAATGGAGCCAGCCAAAGAGAATGTGAATGGTGATCAGATAAGATGAAGATGGTGTGATTGATATGATAAGATGTAATGTGACATGGCGCCAAGTCCGACGAGACGACAACAAGTGGAGTAAACGGCCGAGCATCGGAAGCGATCGTCACTTGTTATTACCATATTTGTAACTCAATGCATCGTCTTGGCTGCCGGGGCAGAAAGATCCTTTTGAGACGGTTCAGAGACATTTGAGAAGACAAGAGAGTCGGACCAAATGGAATTAAATGACCCATTCGTCACGACAAGGATGATGAACCTAGCGTGAGAAATCCTTGATAAAGCCGTAGGCGTGGAGAAATGGTGGAGAGGCGTCGGAGTGACTGCCCCCCGCCCTCCTATCGGAGCAAAGAAAACCGCTGTTTGGCCACTAAAAAGCCTAGCTGGATGTCAATGTTCCGAGAGGCGTTTTTATGCTTATTCCATCGTCAGCGGGAACGGAGATTGAGTGTGGCTAGGAGATGCTGGAGCTGGAGCTGGAGCTGGTGTCGACAAATGACTTGATTCCTCTCGGTGGATTCCATGTGTTCTCAGACCCCAATCTCCAAGCAGGTAGTTATCGGGAAGTGGGAGGGATGGATGGATGGATGTACGGATGCATGGCCCAAAAAAGAACTCATCTGTGGGCCGATCTTGGGTACATACATACCTAGTAGATCCTTCACATGAATTGCTTCACCGGGTTTGATACCTGATTTAGAATCAAGAAACAAGCATGCATCATTGGGCAACCGATTAGAGTTGCATTTAGGTATGAGAAAAGTGGCGAAGGTTAATACTATGCTTAATTCACCCACTTATCAGATCCATTGGATTTCACAAGATCTTGGCGGCTCAACCCACCAGAGGCTGCAACTCACGCTTGCTGTCTACGGCAGTTGATCTGACACTATGGGATAGTCAGAGCTGTGCGTGCTGAGCTCTGCCGCTTTGCACAGACAAGAGAGTCCAGCTACCTCCCCTCTGCACAGAGCCAATACTTGCCAAGGTGCTGATCTTGTCCAAGTTTCAGAAGGCAGCATCTTAGCAGGATCACTGCCCTGCTCTTGAATCTCTTGGTGTTGCATATATAAGAGGGGGCGAGGCACGATGGTGTTTGAGAAAAGGTCTTGTCTCTACATAGATATCTAGAGCAGCCCCCGTTCTATACAAACTCGTTGGGAATAAAAGTCACTCGTGCCATCTTACACATCAGCCTCTTACCCGAAACCGCCACCAACATATCACGACCAACACAACACAATGAGCCAAGCAACACTTCGCACCAGCCGTCTCGAACTACGGCCTCTCGGGCACGAGCACGGAGATTATATCTATCAGCTCGACTCGGACCCGGAAGTCATGAAGTACATCGGGTACGGCAAGCCACTCACGGCCGATGAGTCGACAATTGTGCACAAACTGCTCCTCGAGACAGCATCATTCGGGTCTGGCCTTGGATGCTGGGCTGGATTTGCCGGGGACGATTTTGTGGGCTGGTGGGTGCTGGCGCCCAGTCAAAGCAACGACGATCCGCCCCAGGTGAACAAGAAGCGAGTCGAGTTCGGCCTAAGAATCCTTCCCAAGTTTTGGGGCCAGGGGTTCGCCAAGGAGGGTTCTCGAGCGCTGGTCAAGCATGGTCTCGAGGACCTCGGCGTGGAAGAGGTCTTTGGTGAGACCATGGCCGTCAACCAAGGGTCCCGAGCTATCATGGCCAAAGTTGGACTCAAGCATGTTCGAACGTTCCACAACAAGTACGATAACCCTCCTCCGGGAATCGAGGAGGGCGAGGTGGAATATCGAGTCACGAGGGATGAATGGTCATCACAACAAGCATGTGCTGTGTAGTCGATGGCGTTGTAATAGCTTTAGACATCATCTCCAATTACTGCTTGAGCGTTTTCTGGTTAAAAATCTTGTTCATTTCTATGCATTGTGACATGAATTTCAAAATAACGGCAGCCTTGTGTCGTGATAAGTGTTGGTGAAATTCCTTTTCACTCCTCACTTGAGGAATTACAACAACAAAAGAGAAGATAAAAAAGAGACTTGGAAGAATAGAAGGGGTGTCGTTCTGATTCTGGTCTGCCCATCCATCTTCTTGGACTTCTCTGGCTTCCTGCATCGGGTGGTGGCAACAACTCCATCTAATGCCGGAGGTGAGGATGATAATGGAACATGTGGGCTATATCGCGCATCGTTCTTGGTCTTGGCTACGCGGCCGGTCTAAAAAGGAACATTCGGCAAACTCCGCTTCATGCAATGGAACAAGAGTTACTCTGTACAAGGGATTGATCTAAGGAGACCTAGTCTTGGATTGTCGCTCGGTTGAACTATGGCTTGGCACCGTAGGTCCCTGGTAAACCGGTGAATCGAGAGCCAGCGTGTAACTAGACTACGGATAGTTGGTACATACATAGCATCAGTCATTCGGGATTAATCGCTTCAAGGAAGAAATTCAAGACCGAAAACATACTAGCTAGGTTTCATCCCGTGGGGGGCCACTCAACTCTTGTTATTGGACATATAACATGCACGAGATGGCATTCCTGCAAGGTTGCTTACAGACACCCTATTAATTTCTGGCGAGGTACTCCGTAGCCTATCGGCCATTGTATTAAACAACGCCATGTTGTCTGAAGATGGGAAATCGATTCATAAACTTAAACTACCTCCGGGCTCCAGGGCACAAAATAATAGCACGACGAACCTGAAGTGTAAGTTGGCTACTGTATTTCCCGAGTCGATAGGGATCCATCCACGAAGCGTAGGGATTACACACGTAGCTAACTTGGTTGCAGTGGGCTCAGACGATCCCAAGCTTATGCCAAGCCACTTGATATGACCAGGGTACATGGGCAGCCTTTTTCGGCATCGTAGAAATTATTCAGTCTCCCATCATTTTTGGGTCTAGCATTATGTTATTAGTCCGTTCAGTTATTTTAGCGTTGCGGTGCTGTTGGTTCTTGTTCTGCATGTCGACTTATTTCCAAGACTGCCATGCCACTAACACGACACGACATGACACTCCCTTTGCCCCCTTGGAAAGGATGAAGCTGTTGACGATTGGATCTTATCCATCAATCAGATTAGATAAAAATTTTCACATCATCCGTGTTCCGATCTCGGGTCATTTCCCCCACTCGTTTGCCACTTGTAATCTGATGCCGTCGGTTGACCAGCTACGGACCCCGTCCTATTGGGGAAAAGGCCAACTGAGAGCATCCCTTCAGCCCAGAGCCCGATGCTTTTGATAGCTCCTTGGCCTAAAGCCTCGCTCGTCTCCGAGGCAAGCTACAATGGACCGCTGCAGGGGAAGTGTACCGCGTGGAGAGAGAGTTCCGGTGCAGAACCAACACATGGTAATATGTAGGCAGACAACTGATAATCGCCCAACTCTCGCCCTTTGCATATGCCCATGTCAGTGTTACATCGCACTACATAAAGAATGCAATTGCTCCCCATCTTATCCTCACTCTTTACATCACAGTTCCAGTGTGTTGCAGCTTCGATCGTGACTTCACTGCACTATCAATTAGTGTTGAACTCAACAGAAACAATGTCAGCCCTAGCAAAGATCCGCGAGGGCCTCGCTCGCGAGGATAATACTCCTGTCGCACATACTCTGGCTCCCCACGAGAAGGAGATCGAAGAGGCTCCCGAGACTATCACCGAGACCGGTCCTGGCCATGACAAGGAGGCCACTGCTGGTGCTCTCCCTCCTGACGATAAGGGCAACGATTCTGATGTGCCCAGTGAAGATGTCCAGACTGGAGTCAAGGAGATTCAGGCCATTACCCTCACTTGGGGTAAGGGATCCCTGGCTGCTCTCTTGTGTCTGTAAGTTGTACTCCTGAAACCGACTTTCGGTATATCTCTAACCAATCTTCAACAGCATCTGGACACTCTTCCTCATAAGTGGATTTCGTGGTTCCTTCTACCTCGTCTTGGTGCCTTATGTAACCAGCGAGTGGCAGGCCCATTCCCTCATGACCACCATCCCCATCGTGTCAGACGCCATGACTGCAGCCTGCTATATCCCCATGGCCAAGGCCCTCGACGTCTGGGGACGCGCTGAGGGCTTCCTGCTCATGAGTGGCTTTGCAACACTTGGTCTTATCCTCATGGCTGTATCTCAGAACCTCGCAACCTTCTGTGCTGCACAAGTCTTCTACTCTGTCGGATGGGGAGGCATGATTTATGCCGTTGGCGTCCTCGCTGCCGATGCATCCAATCTCCGGAACCGAGGTTTGGCCTTTGCCTTTACTTCCTCGCCATACATGATTACGGCTTTTGCCGGTTCCAAGGCTGCCGCTGCTTTTGTCCTCGATGTCAAGAACTGGCGATGGGGTTTCGGCTGGATCGCTATCGTTCTGCCGTGTGTCACTATTCCTCTGTTCCTTGTCTTGAAGGTTAATCTTCACAAGGCTTTCAAGAAGGGAACAGTCACCAAGACTCATAGAAACCGGGGCTTCTTTGGTAGCATCTGGTGGGTCTTCAACGAGTTCGACGGTTAGTAACTATTTATCAAATCCTTCAAGCGGCTCATACTGACAATCACAGTTATCGGCATCTTCCTCTTTGGCGGCGGTCTTGTCGTCTTTCTCCTCCCCTTCAACCTAGCTGCACACGCGCCCGACGGCTGGTCTACCGGCTACATCATCGCCATGATCGTGGTCGGATTCTGCACTCTCGTCTTCTTTGGTGTCTGGGAGTATTGGCTCGCCCCTGTTCCTTTCTTGCAGGGGCGCTTCCTCCTCGATAGGTCTGTCGTTGCCGCTTGCATGATCGATCTTACCTACCAGATCTCTTACTATACTTGGAACTATTTCTTTACTTCATTCTTGCAGGTCGTTGTCAACCTCGGCCCTGCTGAAGCCGGCTATGTCAACTCTACTTTCCAGGTCGTCTCAGGCGTTCTTCTCTTCATCGTCGGCTTCCTCATCCGAAAGACTGGCTTCTACAAATGGACATTTTACTTTGCAGTACCCATCTACATCTTCGCGCTTGGTCTGATGATCCATTTCCGTGCTCCTAACCAGTATGTCGGATACATCATCATGTGCGAGATCTTTATCTCCATCGGTGGAGCTGTCTTCATCTTGGTCATGCAGCTTGCTGTCCTTGCTGCCGTTGCCCACCAGTATGTCGCTGCTGCGCTCGCTACTTTGTATGTCGCTGGAGGAGTCGGTGGTGCGGTTGGAGGAGCCATCTCCGGTGCTATCTGGACGAATACCTTCATCCCTCAGCTTATGAAGAACCTCCCAGAGTCAGAGCTGGCCAATGCACCACTGATTGCTGGAAATATTGTCAATCAGCTGGCTTACCCCGTAAACAGCCCTGCACGACTTGCCATTCAGGAGTCCTATGGCTTTGCGCAAGTTAGAATGCTTGCTGCTGGTGTTGGTATCGCGTCCTTATTCTTCATCTGGGTGCCCATGTTGAGGAACATCAACGTCAAGAAGCTGAAGCAGACCAAGGGTCTTGTCCTCTAGAAAACTTGGCCATTCCAAAGATCCCAAGGTGTGGATTGGGATGACCGCACTGCATCCTTGTTAGACAGAGCCAAAGCTTGGGGAACCCCTTACCCAAGGCATAGCCTTGTATGTGACGGACTGATGATCGTCAAGCAGTTAGTACGCTGTGTTCCATGACGAACGAGTTATTAATGAGGACGAGGCAGCTTGGCGAAAAGTAATGGTATAAAAATATTTTTGTTTCGTTTATTCCAAATCCAAGTGAGACATGTTGACAGGCTACGTGATCGTATTTGATATCCACGAGGTGGACAAGACTGTGGTGGACATGCCGATGACTGCTCGGCGCTACACTCCGTCAAAAGTCAGAGAGGTCGAAGCATCCTGTGGATGGAGTTGTTGAGAGTAAACCAAAAATGCTAGAAGGCTTTCGTAAAGGTAAAGCCAGGACTTATATACATGCAGCAGTTGTATATAACCTATGACATTTATAGGTCTGACAGGATCAATGGGCCTCGGTTTTCATTGTTCGTGAGGCAAAGCAGTGCGAACTTTACAGCTTGTTGAGGTTATCACGGCTTTTAGTTCAGGGATAGAGATGTGATAGAAAGGCAGCTCTCGACCCTGAGCTGTACAGACCTAACTCAGGCACTCAGCCTATTTTGCAGGAGGGCCACGAAGATTTTATTCACCCAGCAACTACCTACTTAGATAGGCCTGATGATTCTCGTCGCTCTCCATAGGCAAATCTTGAGCACATCACTTTCACATACGACCATACCTACTAGAGAACTCGGGATCCCGTCCGATCTCCCATAGATAAACTAATAAGGGGCGGATTAGTAGTTGGTTCGGTGACGACCAGCGAATTCCCGCTGTTGTATGTCTTTTTGCCCTTATATTATCTGTGATACCGTTTTCGCGGCTTGGTGAAGGGGTGTGTGTGTGAATGGGTCATCGGGACATATCGTTAGGTAAGCTACTCTGGGCTTCAGAGAGACCGTCAACATGGAGGCTTATAGCAGGAGGGAAAAGCACAGTATGGTTCAAGAGTACAAGCATATGTATATCATGATTATCCTACCTCTCCTTTCTTTTCAGTTTGACCTGTTTTGACATAAAACCCATCATCAAATGCAGTCCACCATTTGTTCAAATAGACATTGATTTCGTTTCCATTCAATGTTGGTCTTTATATAAGGAGATACAAAGAAAGCCCATGGTTCGGCAAATCACATGGGATAATTGCTCCCCAAGGCTGTCTCCAATCCACGACAACCGGTCAAACAAAACAAGTCTAGACGCCAGTCATCCCAACCTATCTGTGATATGAACATCAGCCAACGTAGAGATCATCCATGTATTCATTTCGTCTGATATGCTGTAACGGCAGATTTAAAATCTCCATATATCTTGCCAAACCTGGTGCCACTCCACTATCACCAAAACACGCGCTCGGCCATCATGCACATGATCGCACCTTTTTCTTCATCAATTTCCTTCTCGGGATAGTAAATAGGAAATGCCCTGCCAACGCCGGATACCTTGGCGCCCCTTGTACTGGACGTAGCTTGCTGTACTGGTTCTGGTCCCGTACTTAGTAGACCTTCTTCTTCTCGTCGATGCTGAACTGGCCAGGGCCGCTGTTGACGAGAAGCAGGAGACCACCAACGATAGATAGAATCTGGAAAAAGTCGTACTTGGCAAAGTCCTTGTGGGGGTGGTGTTCATGGAGCTATACGACTTGTTAGCATTCTATATACAGTCGGCACACCCCGCATGCTACTCACTGTCCAAAAGTTGTTGACCAAGAGGTTGAAAATGCTCAGGATGACAACAAGAAGAGTGGCACTGTACTTGGCTTTGAAGCCAACAACGACCATGACGCAGGAAATTCCTCCGAGCGAGGATACAATGACACGCCAGAGAGACCACTCTCCACTGAAGACAAATCCGATGAAGAGGAAGATGAGCAGAACGCGACCAGCGAGCTGGAAGTACATTTTGCGGTCCTTCTCATCGATCTGGGGAAGTCCTGCAAAGACTTGCGTCTTGCGAACCCAAGAGTCGGACAGGACCATGACAAGGCCGCCAATGACAGAAAGGTTTCGGAGGAAGAAGTTGAGATCGAAAATGAGACCATAGCCTAGAGCCTGTGTGACAACAACACCCATAAGACCGGCAACGGCATAGTCGGAATGCTTTCGGATGATGACAAGAGTAGAGCAAGAAAACATGGCAATAATGTTGACGAGCAGGAAGAGATGAGTGATACCGGAAGGAACTGTCATGTGTCAGTACTGCCAACGGTGTCCTCTGGGACCAGAAACGCAATGCGCATCTTACTATGACGATAGTCCTTCAGGTAAAGCAGCTGGTCGGACCATTGGGTGACAATGCGAAGGGCATCTTCGAAGAAAGTGACGACGATTAGGAAACGACCGATGGCAGGAAGGTAGCTGTCAAAGAGGGCAAATGGTCAGCTCTCGGAGCTTCAAAGGCATTTTATAAAGGACGTCGCTCGACTCACGGCTTGATCGGCTCGCTGATTGTGTCGAGCGCATCCTCAATCTTGCTAGTATAGGGACGAATCTGCTCAAGAAAGCCCTCACCCTGCTGAGGATCAGCAGCCTGGGAGCCGCCGTAAGGCGCGGGGCCACCGAGGCCGTAGCCTGAGTTGAATCGCTGGGACATTGCTTTGTGTAGAGGTTCGTGTCGGGTGGGAGCTTTGTTTCACGTGCAGACCTGCTGACGGGCGAGACGAAACAGGGCGATGCTTCCCAGGAATGGAAGTCGGTGGTCGTCGTGAAGCAGAAGAGAAGGAGACTTGGAGCAGCTGGTGAAGCCTGATGGGATGATATTCAGGGCGTTTGGATTCGACCAGAGACAGTAGCAGATGAGTTCCAATTGGGGGTTGTTTGTTTGAGAAGCTCGACAAACAAAGTTTAGGTACGTAAAGTAAAAAAGAGTGAGAAATAGGGCAAGGAGAGGCAAGACAACAGGAACGAGACGAGGCGAGCTGTCCTTTGTGAATCAATTGCAGGCGATGACCTCAGCTCAGACGAGTCGAATAGAGAATATGTAATGTAGTATCGGATTGGCTTAGATTAGGGTCGGGTCTGATTGTACAACGGTGTCCTTTAGAGATCCCGTGATGGAGCCTATTGTCGTCCCACTTTTAAGCTCCCCTCCCTTCCATTCTATTTGTGCTTCGACTGAGACCTTGCATGACTTTGAGCTACTGCCGAACAGAGGGGAAATCAAAGGTACCGACTACCCAACTCTGCAGGTGCTCTCGGACCTCCCCTCGTCTTCCTCTCTCGTACAGGTCAGGAAGGGCAGCTAATAACTACCTACTAACCTACTAACCTAGACAGTGCCTTGCCTTAGGGACCTACCTAGGCTTAGCAAGGGGCCCAGCCACTCCCCATCACCACTTTGGTTAGAGCCGGGAGCTAAATGGTCCAAGAATGGAAACATCCCCCCAAATCGATGCTACCTCAGTGGCGTATCACGATATGGCACCACCTACGGTAGACCAAACAAACAGACTCGACAGCTAAGTTGGTACGTAGGTAAAATACCTGAAATACGGGCTGTGGTAGGTGGATGAATCTTTTGTGTTTGAATTTGTTTGGCCTTTACTCTGTACTTTGGTGTCGTTTACTCAGCAACTACCTACTAAGTATTTACTCACCCGAGTGAGTTCCCAACGCAGCAGGCCAAGGCTGATCAGTAACCAATGACTTTTATTTAGCTCTCAGCCATCAACTCTTCCTCTCCCAATATAAAAGCATTTTCTGAATAGGCCAGGCTTTGAATCTTCAGCCCACCCTTCTCATCATACACAACTCTCCCTTCATTGACAGCATTTCGCAGCTCTTCGCACAGAACTGTACGCTCACCTGTGTCTGGGTTCCATTCCCAGCCCTCTTTCATCCACATCCATCTCAAATATGCCCTTAGTTCTTTATCATCTGGACGAACCCTCATCCATTCAGGCTGAAGCTTAGGATCTCTGTCCTCGCCGTTCCAGCCTGTCGCTCGCCCAAGTAGCTCATCTCGACAGAAGATGCGCCAGCTGTCTAGAGCATACTTGCCTTGTGTAAGGTGCCCAATCTCCCAGGCCTCTAAAAGATCCTGCCCACATGAGTCCTTGTCCACCAACAGTGCACTACTTCCTTCATGTTGATACAGACTCAGTGGGTCCATGTCTCTTTGGTCGTACTTCTTCACCTTGTGATAGATGCCAGCAACTGGAGGCTGATCCAAGAAGCCCCGCGCATACTTCTTCATCAAACTTACGCGGTGCTCCGCCAAGCCAAGATGGCGTATCATCTCGACGAGCGATTCGGTGTTTTCCTCGCTTGCAATGTGCGTTGGCGTGGGAAATCGTTCTTTTACCTTATAAAATGTAGGTATTGCTTGCGTACCCTTGGTCCGAATCAGGAACGTCACCACAATGAGGAGCCAGAATGGTTCGTGGGCAAACTTTTCTTGGATAAGGCCAAACTCCTGCGATGTGAGAGGCGCGAAGGGGACTGAAGGAACAGTTCCCCTCGGTGGTCGCTTTCGCGCAAGTGCAATGACTTGGCCAGCCTCATCCGATGCTGAAGTGGCCACAAAGTATGGCGAAATTGAACTTTGAGGCTTGACAATCAGGGTCATGTCATACAGAGCGCCTCCTTGCGGGGAACCCTGCCCTACAACACACTTATCAACACTCAGAGTTTCATGAGTCTCATTGTCGGGCGTTTGTGAATGTAGTATTGCAGAGATGCGTGCTTGTGAAGAAGTCAGAGGGAGACATGCTCGATCTTTCCATTTCGCAAGATTTTTAATTCCTTCTGGGCGCCTCCCATGAGGCTGGTCCGACCAATAAGGGGATGTTGTGAGACATGTCGTTGTCTTTGGGAAACCCTTTGATCCAAGCCACTGTTGTCGGTGGTTTTCTACTTGCTCGGTGATTTGTGGTGGTCGGATTTCTGGGTCAACCTCAAGCTGTTTAGCCCGAGCAATGAGCCTGTCGGTTAATTCCCATGGCTCCTCGCTGGGTGGAGGACCATGCCCGCTCAGAGTATACCATACATCGGCAAGGACGTCTTGCGCTTGTAAGCTGTTTCTATCTTCCGGGCGAGCTCTTCGCATGGACTTGGCACATTCGATCAGATAATGCCAGTCTGCAGCGCGTGCTAGCAGGCTCTCTTGGAAAAGCTCTTCGGTCTCTTCTGGTGCTTGATGGGACTCGATGACGTCGGCGAGGAAGTCTCGGGCGTTTGAAGGAACGTCGAATACGGAGAGGACATCATAACCGAAACGAGGCGCTGTGGAGCCATTCATGTCGATCAACTCTTTGTTGCAAGATAGAGATGTGTTGCAGCAGCCGTAAGAAGGCATGAACCGAGCCTTACTTGGATCAGAGCTGGTTTATTAGTTATAAAACACTAGCTCAACCCCCGAATAATACATTTATACTCTTTTGTTCAAAATAACTTATCTTGTAAGTTGTGAGAGAGAGCGCGGATGGGAGGCGAAGTGAAGTGAGACTGAATCATGTTGGTGGTGAAGTAAACTGAACCGTGCTACGCACCTTATGTGAATGAATGAGATTGATCCGTCTCCGTAGTAATATAAGATGTCTCTTTCCGTGCAGCATAGTCACGGGCTGCCTGAGCGCTGTGCTGTTGCTTTCGAACTCTTGCGTACTCCGTACTCGTTCGTATTTTGTCACCATGAGTCCTTTGACATCATATGCTATGGAGCAGTGCTGACCAATGGCGAGGGAGGAACCACATTTGCCAGTGGAGAATCATAAAAGGCCCCACGGTAATAGTCATTTCTTGGGTTTGAGCAACCGAGATTTAGATAATAAGTATTTTCTCTGATGGACAATAAACCGAGCATACGACAGTATAAACTAGGTACTGATGAGCTGAACAAAGTTGCTCTCCCTCAATTGGTAAGTCAGGCTTTTGATTCGGCTTGCGAACACGTTGCGGTAGTCTTTGAACTGAGAGCTAACCTGGACCGACTTATCGACTAAGGTTGGTTGTTGATTGATCAGGGATTCCTGAAAACAAGTCCTCCACGTGTCCAGGTGACCAGGCCCTTCACAGCTGTAGTGATACTGATACCTAAGTAGCTAAGCACGCAAAGGCGCTAGTAGTTAGCCAGTCCCTACAGGGCCCATTTGCCTGCACCTCGGCTTAGAAGTGCCGCCCAATTCTCTATCAGCGGGTACGCAACTCCATGTCGCGGTGCATACCTGGCCGCATGGTCACAACGCTGTCCTTGGTAAGCCTCAAGTAGCGACAGGTCACTCATCTAGCCTGACTTGAGTGAGTATGGATAGATGCGGTGACTTGATAATGACATCTGGTCAGGTCGCGTGACGAATGTCGGAGCAATCTGCATGGACAGACAGTTGGGAAAAGGTGAGAAGAAAACATAAAGAAGTAGTTGCTTGACAGGAGCAACGGAGATAAACCATATGCCTTCCCATTATCATATATCTCTCCTCGCCTTTAGAGTTCCTTAGTATCAAGTGACGAGGTTGCTCACGCTAATCGTTCGTGATTCGTCAAAGGCCGCTCCACCCGTACGTGCTGTTGCCCGATTAGTAGGTCACGTGCATAGATCTCGCCTTCCGTCGCCCGTCCTCCCATTCTCCGCTCCGCTCAAATCCCTTCTTCTCGTCCCGTTAAAGCACCGCGCCCTCTCCGTTCCTACAGAACCTGTATCATCACCATCATACCATCATCCAAGAGATGAGTAGTCGCGGCGGTAAATTAGCCCCAGAAGTCAATCGGTAAGTCGCTGCTCCCGCCTGTTGCGTCTGGCATAGAAACAAAAACCATTGTGCGAGTTCTTGCGCCTCATTTATCACATCGCATCCTCGACCTCGATCGACCTCTACGATACGTACCTACATACGTTGTCCAACATTGCTAACTGATATCTAGAGCTCTGTTCGTAAAGAACTTGAGGTATGATAGGAACAGCGATGATGACCTCCTGCCCGGATAGCGACTAATCGATATCGACTCATAGTTACAACGTCACCCCGGAAGAGTTGTTCGACCTTTTCGGAAAATTTGGCCCAATTCGGTATGCACAGACCCTGTTACTTGACACGCGACTATTGTCATTGAAGACAATCTTCTTGTCACTCCGGGACGATATGCGCTTTGCGATTCAATACTGATAGCCATTGTAGCCAGGTTCGACAGGGTATCGCCAACAACACTAAGGGTACTGCCTTCGTTGTCTATGAAGACGTAGCCGACGCCAAGCAAGCCTGCGACAAGCTCAACGGCTTCAATTTCCAAAACCGATACCTCGTTGGTGCGTCCGCCTCGTCACCCTTGCGTTTCAACGGTTCATTTTTTCGATGACTGTGTTGGGCGTATGTACGGGGGCAGCTGAATACTGACCAAAGTCACAGTTCTATACCACCAGCCCGACAAGATGGCCAAGTCAAAAGAGGACCTCGAAGCCCGTCGGGAATCTTTAGCTCAGCTCAAGCAACAGCATGGCATCGATTGACAATCCGACCGGTCTGCGGATAGCCTGCCTAGGAACTCAAAATCCTCGTCTGCAGGCCGGTCTTCGTCTTCTCCCAAATCTCCTTCGCCGGATCCGAAGACGATCCTCCGAAAAGGCAGGACCCCAACCAAAGCAACCGCCAAGAGCCGCGCATCCTCCCGAGTCGTCCGTTTCGATGATGGACTCCGACCTGCACTAACCTGTGCATGATGCATCTCTATCGCTTTTTGGAGGGGCTCTATGACAGGAGCCCAAATACGCATCACCTCTGAGGTGGTTTTACTATTGGTTCGGACTTCGCTTGACACACAAACACCTCTCCTTCACGGTTCTGGGAATTAGATGCACTGGGGAAATTTCAAGGTTGATTCAGCAAGTGGCGATACGACCAGTCACAAACTGCTCTTTTAAGCATGGCCTGGGATAGGAAAGGCCTTGATGATGTTGTTGCCTGTGGATAGCTTTTGTTGCATTTCGCGTCTCTTTGTTCCTTTTATTTTTATTCGATCTGGAAGCCTTGGCCATGAGAAGCCAATATCCCCTCGTTCACAGTTATGATCTGTCTGACGGACTCGCGGCCATACAGATGTGACGTAGAAATGGCCTCGACTCTCCACCTCTCTCGCTGGGGGGTTTACGTCACGCATTTTTATGAAATTTGAGATCAGCAATGGGAAAGAAACGGATAAACACCAGTAAACTAGATTGAAGTCAGGTTGTTTTGATAATGAGAGAATCAGTCCTCCTCAAAGCGTCTTGGCTTAGGGCATTCTTCAAGATTGAAGATTACCTGCACAAGGACTGGGCCCTTTGAGAAATCTTGCCAGTGTGACATGTGAACTAGCCCGAGAGATGAAATATGACTCTGCATGGACATTGCTCACTAAGAGTGCTCTATGGTAGACGATCTACCTTGACAAGCCATAGTTCACAATTGTATTTGCGCCTTGCCATAGTTAGCCCGTACCGAAAGGGACCATGGGCCGCTCTTATGAGGTTCAGCTGTCTTTCAGACTAATAAGGAAATCGTTGGTTCATAGTAAACCATGAAATGTAGGTCGAGCAAGGGGATGCCAAGATGCCAGTTAGTTAATCACCCCTCGAGAAGATGGATGTCTCTGGTAATTGACCAAGCTTGCAATCATCCCACTCTAGCTTTTCAGGTCATTTCCGGTCGCTGTGTCATTTGTGAATATGTTCTTGTGACAAGTGAGACTCTTCGGGACGAGCTTGAGAAGATATGGATTGTCATCATAATATCACACAACACCACAGAAACGATATTCACACCCACACACAAAAAAAGGCCCTATGAATCTGTATCAGACAGAAACATACCATGTCCCATTGTTCACTCAGCTGGCTAGCAATCTGCTCAACAAGTGGTGGACAAGCTGTCTGCCAGCTCTCGGGCTCTCGATTGAAGAATGCCTTGCCAGACAGAAGATTGGCTTCGCAAACAGTAGGCTTCTCCGGTCGCATCGGGCTTGGCCTGAACTGCGGATAAGTTGCAAGTCTACCGATTCACCAGCTGGGCCGCCGATGAGGTCGCGATATCAGCCGTGGAGAGCTGTGAGTGGTTCTTTAGCCGCTAGGCAGTGGGCTTGTGGCTGAGTGTGGGAGGCTTTGAATAAAGTAAACCAACGTCGATTTCGACGTAGAGTATCAGTTTGAGGTCGTATTGAATGTCATTGTTTTTCAATTGATTTACCGAATTGACAGCGTTGAATGTTGAGTCATATGCGATATACCTGTTGATTCGATGAATAGCAATCTCATGTGCACGTCTTAATCTACTTGAGTCAAGAATCTGAGTATAAATCAAGCCTACATAAACCAATCATCGACCAACAAAGCTACCAACAACAGCTGCCTGAACTTCACTCACTACTGAAGGAGTCATTCCTTCAATCATGAGTGGGTAGACTATCTCACTATCTGCACCCATTGCCATGGATCGCACCACTAGGATTCCACAGCCACAGCTGGAACCTCTAGCTCTCTACCTATTGCGAGCTTCGAACAGTGGTCTATACTTATTGGATCCAGTCTAAAGGCTACAATTTCTGTTCTATATTGGTAATGATGCCTTGGGCCCCTCATGTGTCCTTGAGCCCGGCCATGAGGCTTATGACCAACCACCAATGGCCGCAACTGGGGTCTCTCGATATAAGTCGTTGCCAGCAGCAGCCTTGTTAGCTCGACATGCGATATAAAGCCATATAATAACCACTCTGTATTCTCATAAACATTATCACGGCATTGTTCCTTTTTCTACGCCGATGTATCCTCCTTCATCTCGTTTAAGTCGACTATCTCTCGAGAGCATGTCTCCAGAAACCCGCTCTCGCGCCAGGGCTCAATCCCTAGGCCGGAAAACCGAGCAAGCTCACCATGATAAATCATCTTATGACTCTGATACAAGCTCAGACAGTTCTAGCTCTGCAGATTACAGTTCAGAATTCGACGGCGATGATGATGAGCCCTCTGCTATCCGATCCCCAACCAAACTCACATATCTCATCGACCACCTCCCTGAAGAGACTCAGTCGATCGTCCGCGATACCTTCAAAGAGCCCCCAAAGATCGCCCTCGAAAAGTGCCGTCACATAGACGATACATATGCGTTCCAGATGACAGAGCTTGTCACGCGCTCTGTGCGAATCCGCGCGCCACAAGACGGCACTTCCAACCTCAGCTGCTCATGCCGAGATGACGGGCAGCCTTGCCAGCACCTCATCTGGCTATTAGATCAGATCGTCAAACAAACTCTTTACGAAACCGATCTTAGCAAG